TGCAATCAACGCTTGGCTGCATGCAACACCTGTAAGACACTGTGTACTTGGAGTTTTAGCACCAACTGCCAGGTGTTCTGTATTCCTCTACGTCGGGACACTCACCGAGTGGCTGGTTAAGTTTATCGTTGCCTACATGTCGCTGGGTCCAGGTGCTCATTCACATCCAGGTGATACACAACAACCCTCTATGCACAGCATTAATGGGGTAGTGGTAACCTGGGTCGTTGCCATCGACCCGCCGGGGGTTCGATTCCCCCTTAATGCATGGGGTTGGACTGAACATGCCTCGGCAACGCTTTTTGGTCAGGTAAGCTCCCCCGTCACGACAATCACTTCACCAGAGAGGAGCGTTGGAACACTCAACTTTGGATGCAGCTTCGAGCAATCATACCAATGCAGGAAATTGCATTACGTTCATGTCAAATGCGCTTCGCAAATTCAAGTACTCCTGACCAGCAACTCCGCTTGATTCGCAGCTTCCACGCATGACGCGTCAATCGCGACCACGTGACTTGTGACAACCGCGCAAACGCCCGCATTGAGTTACAGCGGACGACGCCAAAAGCCTCCAGGACTGGCACGACAACACTGGGAGCGTGCAACGCATTGCGGTATATGCATAGATAGGCATCGGAATATGTACTTCAATATGCGCTTAAACCTGAATTGTCACGATATTCACAACTCACAGCTGTCAGTACATGCCGGCAGTGCCTTATACCGCCTTGGGCAAGGTCGAGTCAGCCTGGTGATCGAACAGGACACGGTGCGAAATCTGCTGGAAGGCGAGCGGACATCACGAAGAAACAATGCCGGCTGCGCAGGGAACACCCGTGCTACGGTAGCGGCCCACTGCCCGTGAGGACAAGTCCGCCGCCCGTCTTCGCGAAGCCGCCGTCAAGACCAGGCCGCGGATGACGTCCCGCCGCCAACGCTTCCTGGACAGAAGACAGGGTTAAACTTACGGTCGAGTCAGAGTCGTACGCGGCCCCGCCAGTACTTACCGAAAATTTACATACCGCGGTCGACGCGACGGACGGAACAACGCGACACATATCGGGGGCGCGCCTTGCCGCCCCAGGGGCAATAGCGGCGACTCGTGAGCGCCGCCGCCAGCCAGCCGCCGTACGGTGTCTTCCCCTCTGTGCCGCGAGGATTCCTATCGCGGAGCGATCCGATGCGCGCCCGCCTGCGGATGTGGGGGATACTCAGGTTCCATGTGTGCACAGCCAGACCTAGAAGGGAGTCATACGCAGAGTCGAGAAGCGAGGCAGGACCAGGGCGCAATGCGCACGCGGCATCATGCATCAGCGCCGGGGCCGCGCATGAATTGTGGGCGCATGTGTGCGCGCCTGCGCTCAGGCCGGGTGGGGGGCCAGCGCGTTAGCCCGAGGCACCGAGCCGAACCGGGCGTGAGCGAGCCGAGAGAAGCGCGAGCGGCGGGCGACGCAAGATGGAAGTTGCAAGCTCTTCACCCTGCGTCGTGGCGGTTGAATTGACCCCACGGACCCTGGTGCGGGCGAGGGGCCTGCGGTGCTAGAAGGGAAGCGTGCACCGCGTTCGGGCAGCTCGTGCCATATCGATGAGAGCCTGGAGGGTGAATGCACACGGTAGGACCGCGGGGCGATCAAACTAAAAGACGTGTGCAGCATCTGTGAGCGGATAACGAGTCAACTGACATGAACCTCCGCATGGACATGAGCCGGAAGTGTCGTGTTTGGGAGCTGGAGGCGTACGGGAACTAGGAAGGTGGTGCGAAGGAGCTGCCGTCGTGGCCCCGTTCAGCGATCTGGCGCACGTGTCAGTACGAACATGCCCGTTTGGTCGTCTGGTGCGTCGAGTCGCCCAAAGCAGTTCTCAAGAACGCCATTGCTGGTCGAGAAAGGCAGGCGGCACCATAAAAAGACTGCAGCGGCAATTGAGTGGCATATCTGGAAGCTATCCACCGTGCCTCCCGAACCTGGAGTGGTCGCAGCCGTTCCGATATCGCCGACGGTGTAGGGTTTGACGTGTTTGCCAGTAGTTTGCCGCGTTCCCTCAAGGCGTGAAGGCGAGACCCTGCGGGACACCGGCTATTCGGGATAGGCTGCCTTGCGCGCCGGGCGCTTCGCATGTTACTTATCGACTCAGGAGGGTCCACGACCACGACATGTCCCTGTGTGGGCCTTCCCGACATCATACGCGCCGTCTGCACGCAGCGACGGAGTTCATCAGAAGCACTAGTCGCGTCTCAGGCGAGAGGCTGGCGTGTCAAGTGGACCGCCGGGCGCTGCACATGGCGGCGAGCCTTGTCCAAGAGGGCCCCAAGGGAGCATTGAATGCAGATACGCGAGATCGACGGAGGACGGGGTTCTGAGCTGGTTCGGAGGACAAAGAGGAGAGAGCTTCGAGGAAAGCACGGGACGATCGAGGAGGCGGACATCTGTTGCTGATGGACGTGAGCGGAGAAGTACAAGGGCGGATGGAGTCGCGATGGCTACGACTGCGAAGAATCCAGAACCGCGGTGTTCGAGCGAGCGGTGCGGGAAGAGTGTGAGGAGGAGGAGGAGGAGGAGGAGCTGAGCCAACACTGAACTCTACAAACACACCCAATTGGGGACAGAAGCGGCGTGCCACGTGTGGCGGACTCTGATGGTGCGGCCTGAAACATCACAAACGACTCGCCAAATATGTGTTTCCTCTTATTCCTCCAGCCCGTGTCGCGCCCATGTGCAGATCACGCTCTCCTCTTCCCCTTATTCTCCATAGGGCACCGCGACGATGTATAAGAGTCGCCCGACGACGGCCTCGACGCCGCCATCCTCGGTGTCCGAGAACAACGTCTCTACCTTCCGAGCCCTAGCCCGAGTCCGAGCCCGAGCCCGAGTCCGAAGCGCACCGCCGCGTACGCCCACAGCCGCCTCCAATCCAATCCGCCGCACCCGTCTCAGTCTGAGTTGCCTCTGCATTCCTGCCTCGCGCGCTCCCCGTGTCGATCACACCGCGCCCACACACACATACGCTATTGTCCGCCCGAGCCATCCGACTATACCAATCCTAGCCCCCTCCGCCATTAATACGCATAGCCTCCCCTCCAGCTGCCGCTCAACATGTTCCAAGTCGCCTCTCGCCCCGCTCACCTCTACGGCGCCGCCCCGGAGCCCCTCAACCTTTCCATGTCCCACTACCAGTCTACGACCCCGGTCGCGCAGAAGCTGAACATTCCTCGCCGCCTTGCGCGCCCAAGCTTCACCGAGCCTTCCCCCGATGCCATTGCGCGCCTCGACCGCGGCCTCGCGGGCGTTCCGCTGGAGTACATCCGGAAAATGCTGGCTGGCAACTCTCATCAGTACGTCTGTCCATACGACGCGTCCTTGCGCGGTGCTGACTCGCGTCACGTACCAGGATGCGCACCGCGCTGTCCCTTCTTACGATACCGAGCTCGCTCCCGTGCGCGCACCTCCCGCCCACTCTGGACGTGCCCATACGCCCTAGCTCGGAGATGCCAGAACTGTCTGCTTTCCCCAGCCACATCCTCGCCATCCTCTCATCCCGCTCATCCTCGACGACACCCACCGTTGCGTCCTTTGCGGACAAATCCTCCCTCCCGCCCTCCACAACCGTCCCCCTCTACCCCGCGTCCGCCCTCGTCCTCGCAGCGCACTGCTCGCTCCTGCCACCGCTTCCGAAGGGGCTCTCCTCGAACGGCCGCCGCGCAGGGCTCACGCTCCCCGTCATCCCGCTCACGATCCCGAGTCCGGAGGCGTTCCCGCTCCTGCACACGTACCTGCACACCATGCGCCCAGACACGCTCCTCGCCTCGCTCGTCCCCGCCCTCGCGTCCGCCCTCCCCTCCGCGTCCGGCGCCGGCCCATCCGCGGGTTCCGGCCACGGCCATGGCCACGGCACCGGCAAGGCCGTGTACGTCGCGCAGTTCAGCTCGGAGCGCCTCCTGCGCCTCGCGCACGGCCTCGCGGGCACGGCGGTGGGCCACGCGGGCCCGCAGGGCGCGATCACCGTCCTCATGGCGCACGTGAAGCTCATCAACGGCCTCTGGCAGAACGTGTGCGCGCTCGGCGTGTGCGACGCCGAGCTTTGGGGCGTGCTCGACCTCGCGTGGGAGGTCGTCCTCGCCGCGCTCACCAAGGTCGCCGAGACCGGCAAGGCGTGAGCAGGCGCGCCATTGCGTCCGGGGCGCGCCCGATGCGCTGTGCGCTCGGTGCGGCCCCGGTCTGTCCTCGCATGCTGCAGTCGCTCCCATCCCCCGCGTTTCCGCCCTGGCTTTGCTCACGGCTCACGAAAAAAGAACACCGCTCCCGTCTCGGTTTCGGTGCACCGCTCTTCTTGGTTTGGACTCCTACATTCGTCTTAATGCTAGTACGTCCCCGCTCCCGCTATTCTCGCGCACTACGGCGCGCTCCTCCCCTGCACTTTCACACACCCATCAGGCATACCTCTCAATCTCGTCTTGCATACCCACCCAGTGTATCATTCGCCCCGGACACCCCCTTGTATCCCTACTACGGTTTCGCTTGTTGCTTGCTCTCGGAGAGTCTTCCAATCGTTGTTGTTCCAGTCTTGTGGTAGAAGTAACAAGTTGTCGAAATTAATCAACTGGTCGTGTTTGCATCAATCTGGCTCTTTGAATAAAGAGCATGGTGGTGCAATGCGACAATGTGACGAATATACACCATTCATGAATCATCCACAGAACGGTAAGGGGGAGATGGACGGACGGGGCAAAAAAAATACCATTTGCATAATGCATTAAGGGGGAATCGAACCCCCGGCGGGTCGATGGCAACGACCCAGGTTACCACTACCCCATTAATGCAATGGTGGCAAGAGTTAAAACATTCACCATGTTATTTTTGGCAGATCAAACCCTTGTAAAATCTGTCGCTACAGTTTCTCGGATCCAATGTGCAGTCCTTCCCTATTCTGTGAAATCCTGCTGATTCGTCGGCCACGATCGCGGGAGATCCATAACAATTCACCATGAAAGGTGGTGAAAAAGGTGGCCAACGCCGGGGTCGAACCGACGACCTTGGCGTTACATGATTGACTGTGGCCAATCAACGTATTAGCACCACGCTCTAACCAACTGAGCTAGTCGGCCGTGAGATGCGTTCTTACGACAGTATATACAATCATTTGTTTTAAATACGCCCAATGCGACGCGGTCACGCCTGTGCACGCGCGTGTTGCGCGCCCGTGTTGAACTTCAGCTACAAGCTTGATTCCTGCCACCACCCACTGCCTCTGCCTTGACACGCCCAACGGGGTTTCCACCGCATTTCAGGCTGACGATGGACTGGAGCGACATTGGCCGCTTTGGCACACTTTCTCTCCTCCGCAGCCTTCCCGTCGAATCTGTAGCGACTTCATACCCCATCGACGATGAAGAGCTCACGATCGGACGCGACCAGTCTTGCTCCCTTCGACTGTACTATCCTGCCGTCTCTGCTCTCCATGCCAAGATCACATTTGTCGAACGCAAAGCTTTCCTTGTTGTACTCGGAACGAACGGGCTGCTGCTGGACGACGCGCCTCTCTTCCCCGCGGTGCAGTCCGCGCCAGGCCCGACGACGGTCCCGTTGCAGAACAACTCCGTGCTCGAGATCCATAAGAAGCGGTTCCGGTTCACGTACCCGCCCAAGCACCTCCGCCCCGCGTTGATAAACACGCCCTCGCGCGCCACCCCGGTCCCCAATCGCCGCCCGCTCCGGCTGTCCATGATCGCGAGCGCGCACGTCTTCACCCCGGGCCCGAGCCCGGACCCGCAGGAGAACCTGCGCGTGCTGCAGACGCCGCTTCGCACGCCGTTTGCACGCGAGGAAGAGGAGATTGTGCTCGTGCAGAGCGACGCGCCCCGCATCCTCGAGGAGGGCAAGGACCTCGTCATCCTCGACGAGGTCGAGCCCGAGCCCGCGCCCATCCTTCCGTTCCCGCTCCCGATGACCCCACAAGCCCCACAGACGCCTGTGCGCCGCAGGCCGCGGCCGTCGCTTCACCGGGCTGTGCTCATTCGCTCAGCGCAGCGCGCGGCTATCCAGAGGGAGATGCAGATGGAGGAGGAGCAAGACGCGGACGAAGTTGAGGAGACCATTGACGCGATCGCGGAAGCTGAAGAGGTCGATGAGGATATACAAGAAGTACCTCCACCCGACAATCAGAAGCCCTCCACAGGGTGGCGGAAGAGCATAGACATGGTCAAGGGAAGCCTTGGCTGGGCCTTCCGGGGGCTCTCAGTGGAGGTCGGTCCATCAGCGTCGCGTCAATGAATCCTGTATCTGACTAGAGATAGCCCAAGGAGGAAGAGGAAGAGCCCGACCTTGTTCAGGACGATGGTGAAGAAGATCATGACGAATACCAAGAATATGACGAGAAGTTGGATGATGATGCATATGAACACGACGAACAGGACATGGTCGAACACTATAATGAGGACGCGTACGAGGACGAACAGCAACACGAGGAATCACACGAGGAACAAGAGGAGCCGCCCCGCCCGCTCGGTCGGTTCATGACCCCGCAGCTTCCGAGAACCATGTCCGTCAGGGAGGCGCGTATGTCCCTGGGCGGGGCGGCCGATACAGGTCCCCGCCGCGTGCGCGTGGTCGCTCCTTGGAAGGTGGGCGAGATCCAGGTGCCAAACGCTGTAAAGGAAGAGGAGGGCGGAAGTACCGCCGCTCCACCCTCGACTCCTCGGTCGCCTGTGAAGCGTGAGAAGCTCACCGAGGAAGAACGGGAGGTTAGTTGCCCAACACACGTTGGTATCTCTGGCCGAACTGACACTACAACAAACAGGCTATCCGCGCACGTCGACGCTCCGCCGTTGCGACACCGGACAGTTTCTTCAAGGGCCAAACCCCTGGTTCACGCCGGACGCTCTTCCCCTCGCTTGCCCCTCTTCCCTCGCCCAGCTTCAATCAGCCCGATGAGCCTGCCTCTGCGGTCTCGCAAGCACCGAACACGACCATCAAAGAGGAGTCCTCAACGGCGTCGGCATCGACCACCGTGAAGTCGGATGACGATGAGAAGGAAGACACCGCAGTTCTGCTCGCTCGCATGAAGCAGATGGTCGAAGGCGTCAAGCAGCGCCAAAGTCTTGGCCGGCAGAGCCTGAACCTGAGCCCGCGCAAGCGCGAGGGCGGGTTCTCGCTACTCGCGCCGGGACACGCTATGGCGCACGCTCCATCGCGTATCCTCATCGAGGAGGACGAGAACGAGTCAGAGGAAACGTACGGAGACGTCGAGCTGCTCGAGCACAACCCTTCCAACGGCCAGTCTTCTCATGACCACACGGCGCAGGCGCCGCCTCAGACACCCAAGATGTCTGACCTGCGCCACGTCTTTGGCCGGCCGCACGACCAGCCCAGCACGCCCGCCCTCGCCGGTGTGCGCGACATGTTCCGCGCCGCACAACCCCAGCTGCTTCCAGCAACACCACAGATGGAGGGGCTGCGGGACATGCTCGCCACGCCTGCTGCGTACCGTCGGACGTCTCCCGAGCGCCGTGCGCCTCCACAGGAGCCGACTGCGCAGGCGAACGAGGACGAGACGACGCACGACGTGCAGGAGGACGAGGAGGCCGCAAACCCTATCGAGTCGCTCCCTGCCCGCGGCGCACGCGGCAGGAAGGCGCCTGGGGCGAGTAGGATCGCGAGGCGTGCCACTGTTCCCGTCCCTCAGTCTGCCCCTGCAAGGGGTACGCGGGCAGCGTCGCATGCGTTGGAGGACGAGCAGGACTCGGCTGATGCTCCCGGAGAGGGCGCGCGTCCTGTGCGCCGTACCAGGGCCCGCACCGCCGATGGTGCCGTCGGACAGGTCAGCGCCCTCAATTCCTGTCATCAGGACAGCTCACTCATAGCATACCGCAGACTCGTTCAACTAGGGGGAAAGCTACAGAGAAGAAGCCCGCGACCCCGGAGCCCCTCGAGGACGAGGGAGAACCCGCCGCGCACGCCACGCGCGCGACGCGCCACAGGCAGCCGACCGACTCCTCCACTTCCTCCCACACCGACGACGCCGCCGACACGAAGCCGGCGCGCAAGACGCGTGCGAAGACGCCGACGACTGCCGCCAAGGCTGGTCCGACACGGCGGGGCACGCGGGCGAAGCCGATCGAGGTGCCGGAGGACGACGAGGACGACCCGCTCGACACCCTACCCCGTGCCGGCACCCCCGCCCATGAGGAGGAGGCCCCTCCCGCCCCTGCGCCCGCGCCGGCAGCTCCCCGCGCGCGCCGAGGGACGAGGAGCAAGATACCCGTCGGCGCCGTGAAGCAGGAGGACGCCGAGCTCGCTCTGCCGGCGGAGCAGCCCGCCGAACCTGCGGCGCGCACCACCCGCGCGCGGCGCACGCCCGTACCGCGAGGCACCACTCCCTCCGGCATGGCGGGGCGGGCGGGGACGCGCTCGCGCGGCGCCGCTGCTTCTGCTGCCGCTGGTACGTCGTTGGCGGCGGCGAGCGCTAGCGGTGAGGCGGCCATCCCGGAAGACAAGGAGAACACGCCGGAGGCGGGGGAGGAGAGCGAGCAGGAGGAGGCGAAGCCGGCGGGCGCGCGGGCGCGTGCGGCGGCTGGAGGTAAGTCGACTGCGACGCGGGCGGGGACGAGGGGGAGGAAGGCAGTCGCGGTCGCACCTGAGGCGGGCGAGGAGAGCGCTCCTGCCGCGAAGGAGACGGCGAAGAGGCGGACGAGGGCGGCGCGGGCCTGAGGCCGGTTTTCTGTCGGACTCCTTGGTTCGTGAACGGATCGATCTATGCTATCGCAGTTTTGTTTTGTGTACTTGTATCATTTAGGTACCCGGGCCAGAGATGTGTCGACCGCGTGCCTGAGTGCAGTTCGAGAGGAGGCCTTTCGTGCTGCGGTTACAGTGATTATTCACAAAACATAATTTTATATTATCGCATTAATGGGGTAGTGGTAACCTGGGTCGTTGCCATCGACCCGCCGGGGGTTCGATTCCCCCTTAATGCATTGTTTTTGTGGGTCGTGGTAGACATGTAATACCCTGCTTCAAGCCGAGAGAAGGTGCGGCCAGCGGCAACAAATACATTCCGATCACTCTCAGCTAAGGACTCCATGCATGCCGACCCACCACTGGCAGATGGAAGGCCATTAGCTGTGTGATTACCACACAGCTATAGCGACCGTGTCACTCTCAGCATCAACACGGGAGACGAACTCTCCCTCCGGCGCATCTTCAACTTCACATCTGACGGCTTTTTGTGAGCCACCAGCGAGCTTTGGGGTATTGGCACGTGGGCGTTGGAGAGCAAGTGCGCAACCCTGGAAACCCAAGTATGCAGTGCACCACTCCATGCAACGACAGCGGGGCGCCCGCCTCTGCCAGTGCTCCTGTTCTCGGCGGCTCAGGACACCACAGACGCCTCGACATCTGAACCCATGTGCTCTCTGTGAGCGACCCATCCCTCGCGAATATCATTCCATTCCTCTGTAGCCATGTACATGACTTGATTTATATTTATGTGCTTTCTATCTTGTACCGGCCGATTCAACGCGTGCGACGTACATGGCGTCGCGCCGCTCGCGCGACCCGTTGACGCCGACCTCAGTCCGACCGGGCGTCTGACCAAGGTCAGCACATCCCTGAACTACAGTCCTCGACATCTCCTGCGGCAGCTGTGGCCCAGAAGTTAACGGTTGCATCACGCGCTCTGCGATGCGACGATGTCCCGCACTTAGTCGCCTGCCCAAGAACCCCAATGGTGTCAAGTCCGTCAACGTATGTTATCCGTCTCTTGCGCCGTCTCCATCCCTCATCTGAACACGAACAACGCCCCCAGTTCAGGCGCACGACGCCGGGCAGCCTCACCCGCATCCACTACGTGCAGAGGCCCCCGCTGCCGTCCCAAGTCCTTGACCCGACCCACCCCGCGCTGACATATACCGCGCACGACTTCGCGCGTGCGTTCCCGTGGCGCACGTACCCCGGCTTCAAGCTGCGCGTCGTGCCCAAGGGCCTCCTTCAGCCGCCGGCGACGCCGTACCCGAGCCCGCCGTACCTCCTGAACCACGGGCGCATGAAGAGCAGCAGGAGCGTGAACATGTCCCTGCTCGACACCGCGCCGAAGGCCGTGGGTGGGCGCGTC